ACCCAACGAGTTCCCAAACATACACCATCGATGTGTAGTCTACATGGTGTGGTGAACATATCTGAACATGGCAGCGACACACTTGCAGCGTCTTGCTGTTGGCCTGGGCCGCAAGGTTTTTTTTATCGCTCCGGGCCGAATGGCAGGGTGATCATGGCAGGTCTCAGGTCACCGACCGAAGCACCCCCTACTCTCAGTATTGCGGGAGGCTTATGGGACACGGAGAGACGGGCAAGGTGCCGGAGGCTGAAGTTAAAGTACAGTATATAAGCAAAGGGATGCAAAGGGGATAGAATTGGGATAAGGGATTCCAATTGTGCAGTCTTTCGATATTAAAATACAAAATTATGCGTGCCTGCTAGGAGTTGAAAAGCAATTAATTCAATGCGGGCGAGCAGGCTAGCATAGCAAATGAATCTTTGGACTTTGGGATGCCGATTCAAGAATCAAGAACAACTCCACAAGTTCAACATGGTTCTCTCCAACATCCCGATGACTTCTTTCAGCCGCTGGCGGCGCTCATCGCATCTGCAACGGTCTCAAACAGTTTTCCAAACCCAACTCTTGACATCTGCACAGCACTTACCTATTTTAAAGAGAATCAAAACTGGAGTGAGAGGGGGCTTCCACACAATCAGATCTGTCTGAAGTATCACAGCATGATTATCACCACCGTAGACGTACCATGGGCATGAACATGTACCGTGTGTCTGAAAGCATGCCCATCTGTCATATGCCTTCGCCTTCCAGCCCAGCCGTCTGAAAAGCTCGTGCGTCAGCCCATGAGTCTGAGCCTCTGCGCTACACGAGCAGCACGAGCAATTATCAGTCCAAGGTGGAGTTGCAATATCACTCCTCCCAAAAAAATGCGTCTGCCGCTTCACTCGGTGTTGTCATCAGCCTATACTTCGTGTTGCATTTTACACTAGGATGCCTGAGCTTCAAGGAGAAACAAATATCTCAACCCTAATCTTCAAAGGCTAAGTTTAACTTCGACGTTGTTTCTGTCTATGTTTAACCAGGTTAAACTTCGTCGTTCTGCGGAGTCTGTTCTGTTTAAGACAACTAACATGAGTAAAACTTAAGTTTAACTTCGACGTTTCTCATTGGCTAAGTTAAACTTCGACGTTGGAAGTTCTGGGTCAAGTACTTCACTCCAACCGCGGAAAAATGATCCTCTTGAAAGTGGCGCCGATGCTCTTCCCAGCTGGACCCCTCAGCCTGAAGATGTTGTCAGCGTGGGCCTGCAACGGTCGACGGTCACCGCCGGTGTTGGGTACAGCGAACGGACGACAAGCAGCGGCCTTGGCTCAGGCTGGGACTTGGCCTTGGCCTTGGACACAACCGCAATTCGCAGGTCACTCAACTACTCCTGTGGTGGTGCTGTCCAAACAACCTGAAGTAGGCCAAAAGGCGCCAGGTGAAGAACAAGTCTGTGTGTCAACCTTTGCACTGAGGGCCGCACTGTGGGACACGTTGTGATCTCTGGCACAACTGTGATCTCAGGAACCGAGACCTCCGGAAAAACATGTTGTGCTCGGGAACCTGTGCAACATGTTATTACAAACGGCGCTGAAATATCCGCACGTTGCCGTACATCCTCGCCCTTCCTTTTCGAGCTGGACCAAATATATCATGTCTGCTTATTCAGCACTTCGCATGTTCCTTATTATTCACATAAATTCACATATTGTTTTAATGATCTAGGGAACCCTGCATTGGGCCCCCCCCGTGCAGAACTTCATGAAGATTTGGAAGCTGCCACTTCTGCTGGCTCGTTCCATGCGGATGACTCAGGCTCGCAGTGCCAGGCTTCTTGGCGATCAAAATCTCCAATTCGTTGTTTCAGTGTTGCCATGTTGTCCTCTAAAATGTGAGCAGTTCTTTAAGGCTGCAAGAGTAAAGCTTCCGCTTGGCATTTCGCACGGTCCAGTCTTGAAGCCAACCTGCGGCTTTGCAGGGAAGCTGGTCACTTCGACTGCCGCCTTGCACGTTCCAAAACAGCTACGGGAAGCGAGGCTCCTATTCCAAAGCTGCAGCCTAACCCCTCCGTTAGCATCTATTGTGTAGAAGGTGGAACAAACATGTAAGTAATATCAATTTCCGTCACTTCGTCTCCTTCTTCTTTCTTAGCCCTATAGATCCTCGTGGTGAATTGATGAAAGCAAAGCATCCTAATAATGAAACTGACTGAATATCAAAGTGAAAACCATATTCGGCATCTCCAAATCCACCACAGCAAACTCCGGCAAACTCCTTGTAACAATTGCAGCAATGGAAAATGGAACAATGGAACACAGAACTGCTGGCATGATTGCTTATAATATTCAGAAATCAAAGCCAGTTGGCGTAGGGCATAGGTGATTCCTTCATTCAACTGCCAGAAGCGTCCACATAATCTTTGAAGTTGCAAACCCGCCAACTTATCCCGCAAACTCCTAAACTTACTGTAAGCGTCCTCTCTCGCTCTGGCCTCAGCCTTCGCGGAAGCAGGCACCTGCAAGGAAGAACAAAGTATCTTTCAGCTGCTTTGCACTAGTTTCTAGATGCTTTCCAATCTAACATTGAAGGAAGGCATTGTCAATACAAAGAAATCAGGCAACAAGGCTTGCAAGGTGTGGTGGGTCACAAATCTTTCTTGTGCCTGCTTCGCATCTGGAAACCTTGTCTTTTCTATGGCCTTGAAGGCAGCTGTCAACTCTCAACATGCACTTGCAGAATGAAACACCAAAGTGAAAACAGCACACAACAAACATTGTTGCCATTGAAGACTTTACAGTCGTATTTGCCTATGCATTTGCCTTTAGCAGTGCTTGGCACTGTGAGTAGGTTGCCCGCGCTTCCAATCTTTTCCATGGGACGTTGTATGTTTCACTGTTTGGATCACTGCCATTCGCCCCGTCGCCTGTCGTGTCACCTGAGAAGCGCCAACCAACGCTTCTCAGGTGCCACAAGCCAAACGAGTAGCGTTCTTGCTCCTAGTAGCGATGCCAGGAGCCCCTAGTAGCGTCCTTGCTCCTAGTAGCGATGCCCTTTGCTCCTACAAGCGACACCACCGGTCCCGACGCCAGTGCCAAACAGCAAAGCCTTGCCAGTTGCCAAGCATGGACTTCCGAGGCCCTTGCCAGCTGGCTTTGTGTGATTGAGAAGTTCGTTTCCTGGAGATCCAATGGCTTGGCACTTTTGGCATAGGCAATTCTTTAGGATTCTTTGGGACTTATTTAGCTGGCCACTCACACAAATAAAAACAAAGAAGCGCATGCAGCCGCGCTTGTCAACCGCAATGGCTACTAGTTCGCCAGATATTTCTTGAGGGCTGAATGGGGCTTCGCATTAAGCACAAAAACTGGCGTTAATGGCACACCTCCAAGAACCCGCCTTGTCCAAAGTGCTTTGCCTCGATCCGCAGCCACGAGTCGCACACTGATGAATCCATGTCTTCAGAGACCAACATGGACTCTTGCCCTCTCTCTTCCTCGCATATCTGGGATGTGTTGCTTGGCTTGTGGATTGGCAGAATCATGCAGAATCCAATTGCAGTTGGATTTGGCAGAATCTTGACAGGCCAAGCCGCTCAGACGAGGTAAACGTCAGAGTGTCGCTTGGACCTTGCTGCTGCCCATCTCCACACTCAAACATATGGGAGATGAAAGCGTTGGTAGATTCTAGATGAAACCACTGTAAGCGTTGATGACAAACATTGATGTTGGAGCAACATCAAATGAGACAAGAATAGAGTCGTGAGATGCTGAATGATGCTGTCAAAAAGCGGTGGCAGAATGAATGGCAATCCGGTAATCCAAACAAATGCCGGTAGTAAGGTGTCACTGATGCTAGTAGGGACTGCGCAAATCTCCAATGGCGAACTTTCATCAAAAGGTCGTGTGGTCCTGTAGGTTTTGTGGTCCAGTAGGCCCATATTGGCAGCATGTTTGATCAAAAGTAGGCCACAAAATGAGCACCAACAAATTGGGAAAAGCATGGAAAAGCCCCTTTTCTTGCAGCCTGCCTGTGCTTAAAGCATTCAAAAATCGATCACTTTGCGCCAAGGTGCTAGTTCGTCTGGCTGGTATGTCCTGCCACCGTGCAAACAATGCCACACAATGTTGTTGCACCTAAACAACTTCCGACCTGACTGAAGCCGGATCGTTGGTCAAAACTGCTTGCAGCTTGCACCTTTGCACTACACACTAGCCCACCCAGCACCAAGACTCCATTCAGAAGGATTTCACTCTGGCTCACGTATGGACGCGGAGGAGCCTTGTCTGGAAATATATGGAAATATATGAGCAGGGACGCTGCGCCACTTCCGTGTGAATGTTAAGTGTAAGGGCAGCGGGCCAAAAACCATGCTGTTGCCATCCGAAAAAGCTCCTGGTCAACGGATGCTGGCACTAAGGTCACTTCAGACCTTGGCAAGCCGTAACGCTGACCTCAAGAACCATCAGCAAACCTGGCGTGCCCCCTGCACCGCAAGCATATCCTACCACTCTCATGTCAAAGTCAGGTTGTGCCTTGCAAGTCTTCAATATTGGGACGCTGGAGGCGGCAAAGCCAGGCCAGCAGGCCAACAACTGCTCAACAATGACTGGCGCCGCTGACTGATCGAATCATACCTGTGTTCATGGCTCGTGTGATAGTGGATTGCCGTGGTCAGGGGCTGCCATTGAATCATACCAACACTCACCCGCAAGCCAAGGAGGGGACTTCTCCTTGGGGGTTTTCTCCAACCTCGGGAGGGAGGGAAGGATGAGGAATTGAGGTGGCAAGTAACAATTGTCGTGGAGGCGGGATGCAGGGGTCAAGTCCTCTAGCCGAGTCTTCTATCAAAGAGACTGCTTCAAGGCAAACATTAAACTAAGTACTCACAAAGCGGCGGCTATGACGGGTGTTAGCATCCCATTTCACATCATTTAATAATTTCACCATTCTTCTCACATCACACTTGATATTGACGTTTCGACTCTCAACAGGCTGGATCAGGATCAAGTTCCCTTTTTCCGTGCCAGCTCTTGGTAAGTGCGCTTCAGTTGGTCTACTGCCTCTCTCCACCTTTCGTCAAAGCATCCATCATCTATGCGCTCCGCCAGTGTCTTCCTCGAATACATGGTGGAAGACCGCCGATCTCCTTTGTATAGCCTTCTTGTAGCTTCAAGGTTGAACAAATCGTTATCTATTTTCAATTGGATCGGTCAAATTCAACTCTATACTCTTACTTCCAAGATCGATTGGTAACACACGTGGGGGCCATGATGTGTATATATGTATATATCTATACATTATGTATCACTATGTATATAACAATCTTTGGAATTCGCACGCATTGATAGACCATGATGGACAGCTACCAGGGCCAAGCTGCAAACTCAAAATCTAGCCAACTCCCACCAAACCAATTTGCCATAAGTTTATTCTGTAAGCAAGCCCCACCTACGGTACCAAGTTCAATCCAAGGTTCTGTGCAGATTCATGGGGCACCATCACATCCAACGCCTCCCAAGCTGAACATTCCCAACGCTAACCACCGGAACGTCTCGAGTCTTGGATCGAACTTGTCTCGTTTGCCCAACAAAGCAATCCAGTGGCAACACGCTGGTTGCCAACCGTCGGCTGTCATGCCGTGATGACCTTCATGGCAGCTCGTCTCACAGCCCTCTCCGGGTCCTTGGTGTGAACAGAAACACATTTCATTGCCACTTGGTCGCAACCAGGGCCAGCGCAGTCTTTCTCTTTAGACCACCGGCGCAAAAGAAAGAGGATTGCAATCGGACGACGGTTGAAGAACATCGCTCAACGAAAGAAAACATGGGTCGGTCTAAGCTCTACACAAAACACAACAGCATGCTATCAGGCTGTCACTCGGCTGATCGCCTGTCGCTCGAAAGCGTCCGACGGTCCGGTCCAAACATCGGGTCAAAACATGCGCCAAGGGGCCGTAAGCGCACGGATCAAGGCTTCAAAGGTGGTGTTGCTCCAGTCACTGAGACTCAACAAGGCGTCCACTGCTGAGCAGCGAATTCGCACTTGCCCATCTTCCAACAAAGACGTCCTGAAAATAAAAACAAATTGCCAAGAGTGACTCGTCAAACAAGAAAGTGCTGTGTTCTTCTCTTTGGCTGCACCACGACAGCTTCGCTCGAACACTGTGCCGTGTGTCGAACTTGCTCTGCATCCAAAAGGCAGCGCTGAACTGCTACGGCTACATCCTGGGAACAAGAGCTGTCGAGGCTGGATGTGAAAAAAAAACAAGCAAGAAGATCAAGAAGCAGCTTCCTCTCACATTCCCTGGTCCTTCTGCCACGTGCGGCAAAAGCACAACGGCGCTGTGCCGCACATCCACGTCAGGATGAGACAAATACATCTCAACGGATTCAAACAATCCTCTGCATCCTCTCAGCCGGTGCAACAAACAAAAGTAGGCCTTATATCCTGCATGATCCTGCCACCCGAGTACCCTAGCACAACGTTCACAATGGCTTTGATCATTGGCGAGGCTTAGCTCAAAACAAATAAAACAAAGGTCGTGCTATACACAGGTCTACAAGCACCACACTTTCAGGATGCAGGTTATGTGTATCTTAGGAGCACAGGTTTCAGTCTCACCTAGTATGATCCCTCACTCTCATCAGTCCTCTCCGGGCCAGTGATGGCAAATAACGCAACACTGCCTCCTCAGTCTGAGACACATGAGTACCCACTGCTGCTTCAAAGCACATGCTGTTCCAGGTGCTTGATTTCTTGCCGGGTGTCTCGAACGTCGCGCTCTGCATCTTCCAAACATGCAACCATGCTGAGTGCAGCTTGTTCGTCCCCTTTCACGGCAACGTTCGCCAATATCTCCTTGGCACAAGTTCACAGAACATCCAAACTCTGCTTAGGTGGACGCTGCATGATGCTGCCATGGTGTCAAGGCCAGGGCATGACAGTTACTCCCCGTTTTCTGCTGCAATTTCAGCACATTGGGATAGTATAAGCATCAATCATGCATGGATAGTGGCGAAGTCTAAGTGACTAAGGCTAGCCAGCGGAACAAGTCTGCGAAAAAGGGGTGGAGTTGCTGTACTGCTAAGGAGTTGGAATAACGGGGGGGCAGTGGGCGGTTACAGCTAGGAGTCCAGGGCCTGACATCTGATGTCACGGTCTCGGTCTTGCAGGCATGGGATGACAATAGCCGTTGCACAATCTTGCTGGCCATGGGAAAGAGCGGCCACAGCCTTGGGTTGATGCCAACGTGCTTGACATGTGGACATGAGGACACATTTAATATGGATACTGTTTAAAAAAAAAAAACAACTGGCGCCAACTATCAAAACAGGATCTGACAATATTTGAATTATGTAAAGTATATACACAGTATACTACTATAATATAGTTATATAACTTGTCTCGGCCATGGCTCCTTGAGCGCAGCTTGACGTACTACCCAGTTGCTGTGGTCCAGCAACAAGGCACATTCACGCATAGCACTTCCAGCACCTGCCACTCTATATACATCTGTTTGAACAACATGTAGATCCAATGCCATCCGTCTTTCCTACAGGTCGACCGGAAAGTCTTAGATCTGGTGACTGGTGGGCCTGCTTCACCGGCGGCAAGTGGAAGTGCTTCCACCACTGTTTGCCTTGCCCAGGATTGTTTTCCGGTTTTCTCTGGTGATGTCTGCCAAGCAATGGGTAGCCTAAGAATCCAAAAGTATTTAACTTAATATGCTACAGTATGTCCTTTACTGGTGCATCTGATATGCCCTCCTCCACTGCGAAGCCACTCTGCAAGTATTTTCTTGACAACCTCTCTCATCCCATCTGCAATTGTTCGATGCCTGACTTGACGATCACCATGGCTGAGCTTGGCGACAAGGCGGGCAATGAACATCGAGTCACCTGTGCCATGCCCGTTGACATGATCAATTACATGCACATGCACAAGGCCAATAACCATGGCTCAGGAAAACCAGTCGTGGCACAGGACCATGATGCATTGAGAAATTGTACGACAAGCGAGATTGCAAGAAAGGTGGACGAACATTGCACAACCGTGCATGTATAAAAATACATGTATGTATAATACTGACAATATACATAAGAATTGTTAGATTAGATAATGTTACATAATTGTATGCGTGCCTGTTTTGCACATAGACTTGGCTGATGTTTTCCGTCATCAACGATCAAGTTTAGGCTAACACCCGCCTCTTTACACGAGCTGCCCTCTACAGAACTGACAATATAATTACATGCCAGCATGATTGATCCAGGCTACATTTTGACAATGAGTTTGGCTTGCACTCCCGCCAAGATACCAGGCAACACAAGAGTCGGTATAGACTCCTTTGCCTGAGCAAATTGAGCTGAATGACCTCTACGACTCTGACCAATGCCACATCTCGTTTCCAAGAAAAAACATATACAGTATATATATATATATACACAGTACAAATCACAAGCCTGGCCATTTAATGCAATGCGTGAACACATGGCTTTTGGGAGCATGTTCGCACTGGCTGCTCAAAAGCTATGCTATAATAATAGGCATACTGCAACCCGCACCAAGTGCAATTTGAAAAAGTTGAATTTCTCATTCTCCTGCCTTGTTCCTGACCGTCTCGTCGGCATCAGTTATGCCAGCCAACAAGGCATCAAGAGCTCGATCCTCACCTTGGCAACTCTTCGAACAGCTCGTCCCACAGCAAACGCACACAAAAAATCATTCGTGGCGCACCTCTGGGAGCTACTTGCGCAAGCTTCTCCAAAGCGTGGCACCTCAGAAGTATCCACGAGGCACCGGGACAAACAAGCACTGGTGCTTGTTCGAGCACAGAACAAGGAGAACTTGTGGGAAGATGCCTTCTTTGATTCAGTTCTTAGTCTGAAGTCTGATGCAGGCTCCTTCATCATTAGTACTCTGTGGCGCTCACAATATCAAACAAACATCTCCATGTGCTACACGCATAAGTCTTGATCCTGGAATTCTAGAGGCATCACTCCCATCCTGCACAGAAAACCACATGAGCACGGCAAAAGCTTGGCCAAGCATCTTCACCATCATCTCACGCAAGCGATCACACCCGCAAATAGAACAAAGCAAGGTGGCGATGTCCTAAGATTTCCATAAGCCACACAGCCACATCATCCAAATACATCAAACCCAGACTTATATACAGTAAAACCCCCTCCATGAGCCGCACAGCCTACGGGGAGAGACATGGAGCTGCTTGCGATGCAGAGTCGTTGATCACCAGCTGATTGCCCTTTCCCAACAAAGCCAAGGTATCCAATGCGGTCATCTGCAGCAATGGGGCCTGGGTATGGACAAGCGGTGACCGTACCTGCTCTTGAGCCCCTCCTGGGTGACTGTACAGTTCCACTTGGAACATGTGATTGGCTACCAACTCCATCATCTCTCTTTTCTTGAGGTTTCTGAGAAAGGTCCGCTGCATCGTGAGGAAGGGAGGCATAAACACGCTCTAGAAAGACATATTCATGCATGTGGCTCAAAACACCTAGCACAGTAGGAGCTTGGAACGAAAAAGGGCCTATGCCTACGTGGTGGCCTCAATTGTTCCGTTAAAGGTCAAGACCTGCTGTTTCCTGTTTTCAGGTCTCGATGCCGGCTGCTCCAGCGCGTGCAATGCAGCTTCCAAAGCACCTCTGGTTGACGAAAATCAACCAGGACTGAATTTGACGAGACGTGATCATGGCCAATGTCATTAAGATTTATGTCTAACTAGCATCATGTCACCATGTCCATTGTGATGCCTTAGTGTCCTTGGCTTAGCTGGTTTCACGCTAGACAAGCTCTGTCATATGCTTTCGCTCCACCGCGCTCAAACATGTATACTCAGCCCCCCTTTTTTTTCAGAAGTGCTTTGGCATTGTGTCATTACAAACCCTAATTGGACTCGCACTCTGACCAAAGAAGTGATAATATTCCCGGTTTGTCCCAACATGTCCCACAGAATCATTGGATTGGATGCGAAAAGGAGGATAAAGAGGGCTCTATGGAAATGATGTAGCTGGGTGAACATTTTCGTCCTTGGATGGCATCCTGGTTTTAATCAAGGCATTCCATTCTAAACGACTTCTAAAACCAGCACGACAGATCATCTCAGACTTATGTGAGTTCCGAAGCCTCTCAGTTCCAACGCGTCCCTGAAGTGGCCCTATGTATTTTTGAATGTCATCCATTGAACCCGGTACAGCTACCAGATGCTACCAGGCTACCATGAGGAATGCTCGCAAATCCGCGCACGTTTTCAAAGGAGCATCTTGATGTGCTGAAAAGCTTGGTTGGTAGAAACGGAAGGGCGGAAACACTGGAAACCTGTGCTCCCAGAACGGCTGTCAGAGCCGCTGTGCTTCCACTCACCCTGAAACTCCAGTCATATATGAAGACTGGACCAGAGTCACTCAAAAAGTTCTATATACGGACCAAGCCACCTCGGCAATAGTGCTTTTGTGCCACGAGGGGCGTTTTCCAAAAAGTCACGGAACAGGCAGGTCTTCACCTTGCACAACATCTACACCCCATCATTCGATGGATGAGAGCTTTTTGGCAGCTCAGAAAAAGGCGGAACGGCGCATTCATGACAGATGGAATGCTTGGCGCATCGAAAATCTGATAAATCCTCGCCGCTCACTTGACTTTGTGCTGCGCTCAACGTTCCAAAACGATCTGGTCTGACTATTTTTCTTGATTGACAAATCTCCAAATCCAAATCACACTTAGCCCAAGACCAGAAAGCCAACGCATCAAATGCAAGCAACCTGATGGCCCAAGCGTGGGCATAGGCATAGACTGAAATCCAAGCTGCCATCTGGCATCAATCAAGCACGTGCGCTCTCTCTCTCTCTCACTCACTCACTCACTGCCCCATGTGTAGAAGGCTGGACTAAGGGCATTTTGCTTGTGGTTGACATCACAGACTACCTCTATGGCTTGCATGGGCATGGACCATGGACCTACTTGAATTATTTGGCTGTGGCACCATGAGATCTACGATTGTAGGGCGGCCTAGGTGGCACCTACAGCTCCATTATGGACAAACATTACTTTTCGTGACCATTCGTGACCCATCTCCCCTAGGTCCCTAGGTGAATTGCAGGTCCACACCAGAAAAACCTCGGAGGTATTTTTCGGAGTCCAATCAATTCCCGCCCACATCTAATGAATTTGTCAAAGCGCACAGAAATGTAAAGAAATGCATTGGGACTGCGTGAACCTGGCCCCACTTGGTCGCTTGGTCCGGTTGCCATCCCGGAGCCCAACTCACTTCCTCCGAGTGGCCATGAAGTCCGGTGTCGGGGACCGTCTCCCAGCCATGGCTTCACCTCGCCACTGCCAATCGATCTTGGCATCGGGCTTGTAGGCCAACCTGGCGCAGTTGAGACCAGAAGGGGCTCAACTGCAAGTTGAGAGATCAAACACCATGCCCGTCAACATATGAGCAACAGCCGGCTTTTGCATTGAACAACACTAGAAAATCACACAATTGTAAAACATTGTGTCAGAAGGAGTCAAGGAGGCAACTTTGAACACGTTTGATTGGCTTCGCTACGTGTTGTCACTGAATGTCACTGATGGTTTTGCCGTTGCCTCAGAACAGCCTTGGACAAAGCAACTGAAGAAAGCTGTCAGCACAGCAAACAAGAGGCGACTGCTGAATCAAGTGTTGTGTGTCTGCCACTCACCGCATAGTGCCTCACTGCCTGGTCATAGGTCTCCTAAGTGCAACAGACCCCCCTGCAGCCTGGGATATCGTATGTCAAATGGTATGGCAAATTAGGGCATAGCAACCACCTTCTAGGCTCCATCACTGTGAATCTTCTTGGCTTGGTCATGTTGACCCATAATATATTTTATAATCAAGGTCACCCGTCAAAGCACAATGACTTGTGCATGGACATGTGAGTTGCCTTCCCACGTGGCTGTTTGAGATAGCACCCTTGTTACAGCAGCCTTCTGACTGACTTGGGTGCTGTCAGCCAGCCCGACGTTTCCTCTATCCAAGTATCTGAACTCACCAAGCAAATCCTCGATGAGGCAAGCGGCAAGTGCGTGACAGTCCGAAAAAGAAAGCGCTCACGGATTCTCACAACATGAGTGAAGTGTCTCTTCCTCACACTTGGCTGATGAAACTTAATATAATGCAACCCGTTAGCTCAAGGTCAACCAGTTTCCTGTTGAAGTCCTGGGTGCTTAAAGCCCCGGCCGTTTCTATGGGTTTCTACACACTTTCAGAGATAACAATAGCATACAATAACTCATACAATAGCCACACATAGACACTGTTGAAAACAGCCCAGTCTAGAGTACACTGCAGTGACCTTTGAACGGATGCCAAACATGAATAAGCGTGGTGGGTGGATTTGTTTTTGCTGCCGTGCTTCTTTAACCATGATTAACCATGATAGACGTACCAACAAAAACAACAAAAGACTGTTGAGGTCCACGACATCGACGGTTCCAATGGAAGGCTCTCATAACCATCTGCATCCTTGATAATGGCAACAGCCAGCGTGCCCTCCTCCTGATCCTGGACGCGCGTTTTTGGTCAGGCGTTCCATTGATTGACAAATGCTGGCATTCCGGGTGCCTCGAAAGGAATATCCATGCTATTTTTAACACAACCATTCTGCTGTCCAAAATCCGATAAAGCTTGCCTTCGGAGGTGTCAAGGGATTCTCACGCAAATTCTTGAGCTGCACCTGCCATAGAATGAGGTGAACATACTATATATACTGTGTATATATATATAATTACTACCCGGACAGCATGATTTGGAGATGGTCATGCTTCCAAAGGCAAAACTCCACGGCACTTGACCGCAAGGACCCAGGGCTTTGTCAAAAATTGTCAGGTGCGCATCTGGCGGCGGCGAGCATGGCATGCGTGGCAAGCCACGCATTTTCCGCAAAGCGGGCAGTTCGTTGAACTCCTAAGGAAAGACCCCAAACCATGAAATGTATGAAATGCTGACTGAACAATCTAACCCGGCAACCCAAACCGTCGGGACATATTGTAATTCCTCATGGCCAAGGCATGCCTCCTCATCTCTAGACTCTAGTCGCAAGGTCAAGGCGATGGCTTTGGATTTGGTCGAGGAACACGGATGTGGTGTAGAATGCTGCCACTGTGATTCTTGCTCTGTACTCGCCTTAGTTTGTGAAACTACATCTGCAACACTTGCCCTCCAAAAGCTTTTTTTCGGAAAGCCAATAAGCAAGTTTTCCAAGATTTAAAGAGGAGCAGGTCTCTTGATCATTCTGGCAGGTCTCTTGTAAATCGCGCGAAGGGCTTGGCCAGGAACTGCTATTGCATGGCGGCCCTCCCATTGCTCGATCTGTGGGGCTCCCTTCGCGTTCGATCGGAAAACGTGTGACATGCGTGGAAACCAGCTTCGACGTGACACTGCTTGCGATCAATTTGGCAGGTGTCACTGCAAATTGGCAGGCGCAAGTGACACTGCAATTTGCACATGTGACACTGCCAATTTGTTGTCTGTTTGCTTTCATGAATTTTTCCAACATCCAAATATGTCAGGTGCATGCAGGTGCATTGACTGGTCGTTGGTTCATTGGGGCCTCATCCATGAAGAGCACGAGAGGAACCCGTCCTTCATAGCCGACCACCTGAGGAAACAGCCGACTCCACATGGCCGACAGCTTCAGCCGAATTCATCAGGGCTGAACAAAGACCTCCTAGTAGCGTCCTTGCTCCTAGTAGCGATGCCAGGAGCTGCTAGTAGCTTCTTGTTCCTCTTCAAGACAAGACTGTGCCCATCCGTACTCCCATGAAATGTCGCACGTCGCACCCGGCAAGCCTTAGCATTGTCTTTGGCAAACATTGGATGATCTGGAAGCTCATGGCGTTCCAGCATGCCGCAAACGTCGCAGTAGAACCTGGAACTTGCTGAGATCGGAGCCCTTGAGTCTGCGCACCAAGGAAAGAAACAACAATGGGCCTGGCTGCAGCGTTCACATCTCCGACACGAAGGGCAACATACCTGGCCGACAAATACGAAACAGTTTCTTCTGCAGATCCGCCCCGCATGGTGCAATCCATTCCGAACCTTTCCCGATCTGGTTGTCTGTATAATATATGCCCAGTCCAGGATGCCGCTTTTGAATTGACGGAGATTAAGTTTAAAAACATCCTGAACCCTCAAGGGCCCTTCAATTCCACAAACTTCTGCAATTTGAACCCATAATTGGTTCTGCAACTCCCAGAGGGCTTCTGCTGATCTCTGTGCGTGGGAGTCTGCGCATGTCCTGCGTGACTCCATAACCTGCGAAAACATTAATGAGTCAGGACCCGGGCTGTTCTGAGTGCTACTAGTGTCTGCTCCAAACCTCTAGTGCCACCCAGCTGCTGGAATGGCTCTTTTTGATCCGCCTCCAGTGAGTTAGGAGTCTGGCAAAAGATATTCAAAGTATTTATTAGTGTTGCACGAGGTTCTGTTCTGCTACGACCCGCGCCCAGTAGCATAATTTAGCATTTGTGTGACACGCCATTGGCTGGCCTAAAGTTAATCCGAACCTCGTCTTCTTGCTTGATCACCCGGAACTTGTAGCTGTCAGGCCCAGTGATTACATCACCCTCCACGTCATATCCCATGGAGACAGCAGCCTCTAGCGCCTCCTCAGTGG